GTTCAGAAAGGAGAAGGGATTTTTCTGTCACAAAGTGCCTATGCAGGAAAAATTCTGGAGAAAACGGGCATGGAGGGCTGCAATCCCACTCAAGTACCCATGGAGGCAAGGCTCAAGCTGAGTAAAGAAGGCACTGGAGAATGTGTTGATCCAACAGAGTATAGAAGTATAGTTGGCAGCTTGAGGTACTTGGTAAACACTAGACCTGATCTGGCATATTCTGTTGGTTATGTCAGTAGATTCATGGAAAAACCAACAAGTGAACATTGGGCAGCAGTCAAGCATATACTGAGATACATCTCAGGGACTATCAAGACAGGTTGCTGGTATGGAAGAGAAGAAGTTGGAAATGCAAAGTTGGTTGGGTTCAGTGATAGTGATATGGCAGGTGATCTTGATGATAGAAAGAGCACCACAGGTGTATTGTTCAGGTATGGTGGAAGCCTGATCAGTTGGCAATCTCAGAAGCAAAAAGTTGTTGCTCTATCATCATGTGAGGCAGAGTACATAGCTGCCACTACTGCTGCCTGTCAAGGTATTTGGCTGAGTCGGCTGATTGCTGAGCTGCTTGATGCAGAACCCGGCCAAACAACACTTATGATTGACAACAAGTCAGCGATTAATCTTTGCAAGAACCCTGTATTCCATGACAGAAGCAAACATATTGATACCCGCTACCATTTTATCAGGGAGTGTGTGGAGAAGAAGCAAATTGCAGTGGAGTATGTCTGTTCTGAAGATCAGCTTGCTGATTTGTTAACTAAGCCTGTCGGACGAGTTCGTTTCAAGGAATTGCGAAGGAAGATGGGTTTGGATAGGACACTTCAAGATTAGGGGGGAGAATGATAGATAATCTTGAGTGCCAAGAATAAAGTTGTCGTTAGCATGCATGTTTTAGTCAATTCTTTGCATTATAATAGCATATAGGCGTTGGATTCCATTTGTATTGTGGCTGGCCTGAGTTTGGTCAAAGTTGGTCAAGTAGTTGCAGTTTTTTTCGGTTGTAGTGGCCGAGCTGGGTCTGGAGCGTGGGATGGCGCGGTCGGTAGTTAGATCCGGCAAAGCTGGTGTTTGTTATGCATGTAACAACCTCACAAGATGAGGAGTATGAATAGAAAGAATCAGAAAAAGCTGCGGTGGTTGTTGAGCAGCGCCAAAACTCTGCTTTGCTGTGTTTCTGTGTTCGTCAGTACACTGTTCATCATCCTGCAAGCGTCAGTTAAGCTAGGATAGCTACGATCTCGCGTGTGTACAAGGTGTTTTGCTGACACCTACTTCCTCTACCTTGCCTTGTGCTTGTCCAAATAAAGATTAAAGAACATGTGAGGCTGAGATGACATTGACTGCTCCATTTGTTGCATAGGTTATCCAAATTATTGTCTTGGCACCTCATATTTTTTTAGGGCATTATTGTCTTAGCTGTTGAGTGGAAATGTGGAACAAAAGGCTCTCTCATACTTGGAGGAAGGTTGCCCCCACCAATTCACACTTTGTTGGACATAGAACCTCCCTCTTCTGTCATCCTTTCTTTCTTTCTTTTTTTCTTTTATCCTTCAGAATATATGTTATCTTTCATGATTCCTCGACGTATCGACCACGAAGAACCATGTAAATTTAGAGAGGAAAAATGGGACTGAACAAACCGATAGACAGTCTTTTATTCAGACAAAAGGTTGAACTTGTGAGAAAAAAATGTTTAACACGAAAGTTTGCTAATATAAGAAGACTTGGTACAACTAATTTATCTCAAGCCACTAGCTGGCTAGCTGCTGCTATCCCGATAATTGTTGGCACAGCCCATATTGATATGTCAGTGTCAAGACCATTTTGTATGTATAACCAAAGGTATGGCTATTAACCTGGATTGATCATACTGGACCTTGCATATTGTCAGTGTCGTCCATAAATATTTTGTAGGCATACCTAACTGATTTCAACATCCAAGAGGTTCATGCACCATATTGGATTCTCTTAATCTTTTTATTTAAATAACCTGAAAATTTCTTAACTAATTGATAACCTTGTCTATTCAAGAGAGGCTCCAGCACAGTTGAGAACTCCAGATGCACCACTCACATAAGCAACAGCGAAGTCAAAAGATATGCATTCTTATGTCGACACGAAGCGTGTATCGATCAACTCTGTAGCTAGCAAAGATACAGTATACATATATACTCTTTAGTATAAAGAAGATACGTGCAATGGATTATAGCTTTTTCCTTTAACAAATGGGTTAAAGGCAATGAACTTCCGTCTCCTTCTTGAGGTCTGAATTCTTATAGCATCCCTTCTGAGTAGACTTACGTGCTTGACTGAAGTGTATCGACCAGCTATCAGCTTGGCACATAGTGCAAAGGCGTTTCGGTGCTCTGTAAAACACGACTAAATTATCTGAAAGTCTGAAAGAGAGATAGTGGCAAGCACGTTTTTCATACTTCGCCAGGGAATGGTTATCTGAAATCGGTACGGTGTATTATATTGCTGTAAGTTGCCGGGGTGAAGTAAAGTTCTTCAGATCAGATACAAGGCACTGAACATATGATGTTTCTTCCATGTTGATCAAACTGTTTTAAGCATCTGAATTTCACTGGCTAGGAGTTTACATGCAAATTTTGAACAAAATGTACAGGTATGCATTGGGTAAGAGACATATCAACACTATACTGCCCTTTCAACTTTCAGGTTTAGGAATATGAATGGATTGCTCATGCCGGCCGTATGGAATATTTTTTTCCTTGCAAAAAGAGGTACAAAAGCATTTTCTAAAGAAAAAATAGAGGTGAAAAAAAATAATGAGCAAAAGCACAAGCATTGGGGATCATCTCTGGCTAGCCTGTTTATTGTTCACCTAGTTCAGAAGATGTCATGCATGACTTAATCTAATGTTGAGCAACTTTGAGAGTATCGAGGAATCGTCCCATGGTACAAACCAATAGTCGGGTTCCATTATATTCTATTATTCTCCTTAACCCCTGCACTTTCCCTACACAAAGATCATATCAAGTGGAAGTAAAGGCATCACTATCCATCAGCTCAAGCCACTGGATTTTTAACCTTTCAACCATTTCAAACGTTTATTTTACAAATAGAACCTATCAAATTTATTGCAGATATAAACCCTAACTCCACGCCAAGGCCTAATGTGTCAGTGCCAAGGAAGTTGGAGCTGACCCCTTGCCACCCGTGGCAGGCTGGCAGCCCAGCCATGACGGCGCCTGGTGTGGCAGGAGGTACCATGGATATTAGCGGCGATACGTTATACCTTAGTGTCAATTACTTTGGCACCAATCCTTGGTAGGATTAAATGTAAGAAGTTACAAGTCTTCGATTTGATATGGGTACAACATAGTAAAATTATCGAGCTAACAAAAAAACTAAGTATTTATAAGTAAATTCTAATGTTTAGGACTTACATGGACCGTCGAGGTCAACGCTTGGAAACATCGGCCGCCAATGCAGATGCTCCAGGTGCTTGGGTCTCGATGCCATGGTGTCTGGTTCTAACACATTAGATCTCGGCACCAATTGGCGCGAGTTAAGGATCTGTATTTGCAATAAGTTTTCGTGATGGTCTATCTGTAAAATATGTTATCTAAAGGGTACAAAGTATAAAAAAATCCACGTTTAAGCCACATCTACTCATCTAGAAATACTCAATGACGCAAAAAGCAAATTAGATCAATCCTTATTTTGAGACCCAAATACTATTTTTTAACCACTAACTTTGTAATTGAATATCTTATCACCATGCGCCTGCCCAGCCCCTCATTCCACATGAATCTTCTGATCCTTAGAGAAAAAAATGAATTTGTTCATGCACTGCTCACGTGAGAGTCTTGGTCATACACCACTAATTCCTTCTGCTCACTTGGTAAATTAAAAAGTTGAAACGGAATGCCTCATGCATGGAGACCCAACCTCTCCTTTTCGTCTGCCTTTAGTAGTGGTCTAGCAACTTTAGTTGTTTTTTTCCTTGGTTCCGAGCGAGAGCGAGTTAGCTAACGTCACAAGCTAAGCTACTGATCAAGATTATTATTGCACGCTTGCCCCCCTAAGTTCCTAACACTAACTCATGCTAGCTAAAGAAGTAAGATTTGCTGTGATCGGGAGATGCTACCGGACAAGTGATTTGTTTCTTGGTTAGCTTATAATTTTGGCGATTTCTGATACTACATCCGAGGCGGATCCTTCAGTTAGCTAGAGAGTCTGAAAAAAAACTATACAATACTATAGCACCTCTTTTAATGGACGTATGACAAAATTTCAGTGAGGCTCTATGGGGGCTCCTATGGTTGCAACACCAATAATAGGGGCTCGAGACCTCAAAGCCCTATGGTGGATCCGCCAACATCCATTTGCAGATATTTAGCAATATTTTTTTTTACTGTTTTCACTTTGACCATTAATATTTTTAAACTACAATGTCTCTATTAAGATCTTTGTTTTTTTATCCGACGTTGGTTAGTTCAAACATCAAATAAAAAATAGAGGGAGTATTTAATATGATTCAAACCGCATTTCATCCCGTGGACAAATATAACTTTCGGTCATAATACACTAGCAAAAACAATAAAAAGTTGTACTACTAGATTCCAAAACCACTTTGCAAATTAATTCAAGGAACAATTTTTCCCATGAGCAAGTTTAATAGTATAGCCAACTACTAGTGCCAATTTATCTATAGCCAATCTAGTAGCTCATTCATACAATAGTTACATACTACACTATTAATACATGGTCCACCTGTCATACACACACCGCGTCTTGGAGTCCGTGCTACAGCTGACTATAAATCTGTAGCCTGCTGATCTTCTTAGAATATGTTTGCAGCTGGCTTATAGCCTGCTATTGTACCTGCTCTTAGACGGTTGACCTTTTTCTTGTTTGGGAATCGTGAGGCAGATGGTGGAGAGATCTGCCGTTTACTTTGATCCGAAGGTAAAAACACACACAAGCTTGGCCCACCACTCCACCACCTGGGTGGTAGCCAGTGTTCGTCTCGGCCCAGAATCGATGCAGCCAGCAAGTGCAATGCAAGCTCCCCCACAATTATTGCTCCGATACTCCAATCGCCATCTGCGAAATGCTGTCGCTGTTCCTGCCTACGAGCGAGAGAGAGAATCTCATCTCGATGCTGAACAAGTAATTTTCCCGGTTCTGAATCCGTTCAATCATCCAGGAAAAATGTCCGGAATTCCAGGTAAGTAATTTTCTCTAATTTCTTATCCTGATCAGATTTATAGTGAGATTCAGGGGAATAGAGATCTGCTGGCTTTTTCATCGGAAAATTTCGCTGAATTGCGTTCGCGAAAAAAAAAATTCGCTGAATTTCGTACAGCGGATGATGAGGATTGAAAAGGTTGGGTGCTGCAAAAGCGAGAGGGGGTGGGGAAAGAAGGGCGCAAGACCAATCAAGCCAAAAGGAAGGCAATGCCACGAAGGAATCGGCTAGGGTTAGCCATCCGCAGCCACAGCCGAGGGGTTAGCGGGTTTAGCCCTAGCCCACCATGACTGTTGCGGCGCATTTCATCTCCTCCTCGCCGAGGGGAAGAAAAAACCGCATCGCGACGGCGACATCGGGGGGGCCTCTTTAATAATGCTTCCATCAGAGAGCATGGCCATGGCCATGGCCACGACCTTGATCTTGAGGTTTGGGGGTTTGCGAATTTGCAACATTAACAATAACGCATCATTGCTGCCCCTGCCTGATTACCACACTAATTAATTTCTCTTATAGTGCTTTATCTTATCTCTTCTTCTAACTTTAGGTTAGCCGGGGTCGAAAGGTTCTTCTTCTTTTGCGCCTTTATGGCAAAGGGGAATTCTTCGTCGTCACGCACCAAGCGTTACGCAATTCGCAAAAGAGGAGGTGCCCCACTGCACTCATACTTCTATTATATATTCCTCGGTGTTTTATTTAATTTGTGTTAGTTCAGAGTATTATATGTGTGGTGTAATTTCTTGCTGCTTTTGGGAAAGATATGGATCATGGACAATGATTGCCAAATAGTGTAACGACTTAGACCTAGTAGTTAGTTGTCAGACACTGTTATGCGAAAATCGATTGTTTCTTTGAGGTGTATACTTTGATATTGACTGAATTTCATGGTACTTCACCTCCATGTTTACTTGTGTAAGTTCTTGCTAGGCGTGTCTACTTACTTGTGTTGAGAAATGAAATAGCTAGATGCTTAGCATGATCTGTTCCTCTTGAGAACAGAAACCCTCAAGATCATATAGCTAATTAAAGAAACATGATATGGGCACACCACCAAAAAAGCAACCAGGAAGGAAGACAAGTAGCATAGGATGAGGGAAAAAAAAGAAAGGTGTAAAGGGGGCATCTTTTTGGGAAGGTTGAGGAGGTTTAGTGATCAAGGAGGGATACCCCAGAAATGGGAAGTTCCACCGAGCAGCCAAGTTGCTGAATCTAGTGATGTCCCCTAATTGCATCATGGAATCTAACATGAGCCCCATTATAGGGTCATCGTATTACCTCGCTCTTAATAAAATTGGTTGGATGATCTTTTCGGCTGCCTAGCTAACAATCTGAATATTAGTTAAATCCTGCTTGCCTTCATGAGGCAACAGGGGCACTCTAGCAATGGGATTAAGTCCTGATAAGTTCAGTTTACTTGTGTGGTATTTGTACTGTGCCTGTAATAACTGGAGTACTAACTAGTAGTGTTTACAACTTTATTATGTCCCCTTGGGTGACAAACTAAATCTCTTAACTATGCTCAGTTATGGCATATGAGTTAGTGTTGCCTTGTCTGACGAGACTTCCTTTTCTGAAACCAAATCTCCTTGCATGCAGCTTTCTGCCTAATCAGTATTTGACAGTGGATGTGGTGTATTTAACCATCTTTGCTTGGCGGTTTCGTAATAAAAATGTGTGTGGAAACTGCTTCCTGGCATGCTTTTGTAGGGCACTGTCAATCACCTGGGTTATCTGAAACTATCGATTTTTGCTAGTGTGTCGATCTATCGAAGTAACCAAGGCTGTGCCTCAGACTTAAAAGCGTGCTACTTTTTTACACCTGAAAGTTACCATCTTTCTTCTCTGTCAGAATCATGTGCAGACTTTTTCTGGCTCTACTAGTTAGGTGGTGAGGGATGTGTGTATGTATTCCTGTGTGCAAGCAACTTCTCACATATCCAACTAGTTTACGAAAAGAATAATTAGTGCATCCTAAGCATGAGGCCCAGGTGATAATATTAGATACTAAAAGCTCTTCATACTTGGCTTCTTCTTTTGAAGGGAGGGCAGCTGTGGCTCTTTATATAACCCTGCATCACTTCTTCTGGCTAACTGGTGTCCTTTGGAGCTGAGCTACATAGCACATCCGTGGAGTCTCTTGTGCTAAGCAATTTACCGTTCCAGTGCTCTACTTTGTAGGCCATCCATATTAGACGGAAGAACTTTATCAGGTACTAAGTTTCTCTGGATATTTGATTCACTGATTCTGTTTTTATTATGTGTGTCATCTTGGTGAAGAACAAGTTAAGTCCTACTCTTTGGCTTTCACTATATGTGCTGTTGTGCTAGAATTAATGATAACTTGCATTTCTATAGGGTTTATTACCTGATTGACAAAGAAAAAACATCAAACCACAGCTTGCCTTTCATATCTTGTTTATCTTTTCATTCCTAGTAGAGAGGAAGTAGGAAAATATGTTTCCTGTTAACCTAACCAGCAGAGTCATCAGGTGGGATTTTCTCCTTCGGTGATGACTCGTTTAGTGAAAGAAGGACATGATTTTTCTTGGGGACTCTGAAAAATTTTAGCTTCTGAATAAGTGGGCTATCTGATAATTCTTTAGTTCTTCCAAGACATCATAGCTAAGGGTTTTTGATTTTGTCTCGTCATGTCTATCGTTGTTTCTTTTCTTATTTGAATGGGACTGCAAAGTGCTGGAGTGGTACTAAAACTGATCATATTCGCTTCTCCAGTAAGTCTGGAATAGCACTCGTAAACCATATGTTCATTATAATCTTTACACTGTTGGAATAAAGTTCCTTGAGCGAAAACTTTTTTTTTCCCTGAGAACATATCTTTCTTAGAGTATTTTCTAAGACCATATCTTCTTCCATGTTCATGCGACACTGGACACTCTAGAGCAACTGCATAACTTTCAGTATTGTTTATGAATTATGCAGCTAATATTCCCACTCTGGCACATGAATTTATGCAGTATTATTATTGGAGGAGACCAATTCAAGAATGATATAATGGAGCTTTACCCTGGCTATCTTGAAGACCATTTTAACATCCACAAGCTTAGGTGTGTATTCCTATAACCGAATCCCTTATTATTTCTGAATTTTCTCTATTTAATATTTAGCAAATGGAAAATGACAATTAGAATTGCTGCATTTTTACGTTGAAGTTGAACAAGCTGTCAAACGAAAGAGAGTTAGCACCTATGATGCCATTTACGCATTCTAGTATTGCAATTTGCATTAGATTTTCATTAGTTGTGGCACAACATGATGTAAACCGAATAGATATTTATTACAGCAAGTGGACTAGTGCTGTGGTGCAGCGAAAGTGAGATCATGTCAGCTAGGACAGACAAAGGTGAAGCCTACAATAATAATACGCTGGCTACCAGATTTCAGAATCACCAATTAAGATAGAAGTGCGACATCAACTGATACCTTGTGCTAATTCTCTGAAAGTATAACATAGATGCTCTGCTTTGTTCTCTTGTTTAGACAACCACATCCACCCATTTGGAACAAATCAAAAGGTTTCCTCATAGCCCGTAGGTTACTGCGAATTTACACTGCACATAGCTGTTTCTAAATAGGGCACGGCAATAGCCGTGAACTCTGCGTCTTGCACATAGCTGTTTCTAAATAGGGCACGGCAATAGCCATGAACTATGCGTCAGATCCTTGTTGTAGAGGATCCTGATAGTTGACTCCTCAACGGAAAAATAAAAGACGAGGTCCTAATTTGGCAAAATAGTGCAGGGGCACTAGAGAAAAAAAAGGCATTTTGCATCATCTCCAACCCAGTTTAGGGCAAAGGAGAGGCTACTGCTTGGCCCTCCCCAAGTGATGTTGCGGGTCTGAAGAAAGTGGTGAGCGATGACCAATGCATCACCATTCACCACTAACTAACCAATCAAAGTTTCATAAGAAAAAGAAAAAAAGATTAGCCAATCTAGCATTCCTTTTTTCTTCCTTGACATCATCTGTCCTTTCATGTTCCCCAGCAGTGCACTGTGCACTACTGTCTACAGCAAACACAGTTTCCTTAAATTCCTCTAAAAAAAATGTTACATAGTTATTTCAGGCTTCAGTCTAACCAGAAACTTGAGCTTATTTCTGTGCCATTAGAGATTAGAGCCAATCCCTCCAAATTGGTTAGAATAAACATATAGGTAGTAAATACATATATGATGCCCATATATGCGGGAGTGAATGCGACAAAATGAGGCGACCATTATACAGCAATGCACACTGCTATTCCTGATAAGTTGGGACATACACATAGTGGGGTTTGAGCTATCCACGGTGGTCGGAGGTGTTGCAGGGTGAGCAGACAAAACGAAGCCCACCGGTTTTGCATTTTCGTGGGCGCTGGATAGGCCAACCTCACTCGCTTTTAGCGCAAAAGCAAAGTGGAGCCGCCAATAATTGAGCGACACATTACCAAGGTCCCTCCAGTGTGCTGGCCCGGCAAATCCCCCACTACGTGTGGGAGTGAGTGAGCTTCTTCTCCTGCTGCTGCTGCTTTGCCCGTTCGTGCAGCACGTAACATCATCCTCACAAAGACAAAGATGGGTTCCATGGACGATGGATCATGATCGATTGATCATAGATGCTGCGTCATCATGCTTTCTGTGCTTGGGATTAGATCACCAGAATCTTAGTTACAATTACAGACATCCCATGGAGTTCAGTTCAGGTTCACTGGTTCAGGACTTGGTTGACATCGAAGGCACAGGATTGACTATACTTCATCCGTTTCACAATGTAAGTCATTGTAGCATTTACCACATTTATAATGATATTAATAAATCTAGAATGATATATATGTCTAGATTCATTAACATCAATATGAATATAGAAAATGCTATAATGACTTGCACTATGAAACAGAGGGAATAGCTTAGTAGTAGTATATGAGGATGATGACTGAGACAGACAGCCGACCCCACAAAAAAAGAGTGGGACCCACGAAGCAAATCTGAGTCACTGAGGAGAAGCAGCAGCTACCAGGTGGCAACTTGTCCGTGGAGCAGCAAGGGAAGCGAGCGAGTCACTCTCAGCGTCACGCACCGCGCCTTTGCAAAAGCTAAAGCTCGCAGCGGCAGCGCCGCCACCACTCGCACTCTGCTTTGCTTCCTTCGTCACACTGCCGGCACTGCACTGCCTGGGAGGCTGGGATTCCAGATTCCAGGTTCCACTCGAACTCAAGCAAGCATCCAGCCACTCGCGGGCAGGCACACGCAGTCCAGGCTGCTAGCTAGTACTCAGATTCTTCTCGTCTCTACTAGGACTAGGCACAGGTTCCCGCATCATTTCTAACAATCTAGCTGCAACTAGCTTGAAGCTGGCAACTGATTCGTACTCCCTCCGTCCCAAAAAAAAAAACTAAACCTAGAAGAGAATGTGACATTTTCTAGTACAACGAATCTGGATAAATGGTTGTCCAGATTTATTGTACTAAGAAATATTAGATGTCACATCCTTGCCTAGGTTAAGTTTTTTTGGGATAGAGGGAGTATTAATTATCCCTCTGATCACAGCCTCTTTGTAGTGAGAGAGACTGTTACTGTTACTGTTGGGCTGAAGATGACTGTGCTACTGATCGGACCTGGGCTGTTGAGTTAGTGATCATTCTGACAATTAGACTCGTACACATGATAAGAATTTTTTTTCTTCCCTGATGGAAGTGCGCTCGCAAAGTGAACGTCATCTCAGCCTTCAGATCAAGCTTGATTCATCATCATTTGTTGCGCATGTTGTCAACCTCTGCATGCCACTTTGGCAAAGTGCTCTAATCCCCAGTGAAAATGGCGCCTTTTGATCCCCCAAGCTTTTGTGGAGATGCATGCGGCCGCACTTGGGGAGAGCATATTTGCCTTTGCATACAGCTAGCTATCTCTAACCTTTGTGCTGTGCTGAGCACATTCCATTTCCCAGTTTAAAAGAATCACCTTTTTTTTCTTCTTCCTTTCCTCCCTAGCTTGTTGCAGCTGCTGCTCCAAGTAGTGTGTGGCGATCCTTAGTTTTTTGCACTTAGGGAGGGTGCACTCTGCTGATCCTCTTTTACTTGGTTCAGTATCAGCAGCGCCTCTCCTCCGGAGTACATGACCTCGGCGTCGACGCAGTTCGCGGCACCGGTCAGAATGGGGGCGTACGACCGGCCTCCGCCAGTTGGCATGTGGAGTCACGAGCAGTTCAAGGTTGACAACGGCCAGGCCACGAGTGCATCCACGATCATGGAGGCAGAGATGAAATTTGAGAATAGGGTGAGGAACACATCCGCTTTGATTTAATTTTGTTTCCTCTAGTATTTTGAGTAGCTATGAGCTGTGGCTTCTACTAATTGCCTGTTGAATGATCGGGTGTTTAATACTCATTTTGATGAGATTTGCAGCTAGAAGAAATTCCCCAAGTAGTTCTGGAGGAAGGGAGAAATGTTGATCAGGAGGCAAGCAAGCCGCCAGACAAGGTGAGCATCACACAGTACAATCCAACCATCTCTGCTCTGCTCCATTATATGAAACCGTGTAATTATTACTCTTTTCCTTTTCTTAAAAGATGCAGTAGAGAAATTCCCAAAACTCACAGTCCATTTCATATGTTAAATTCAGTTTGGTCTTGCGAGATAAAATAATTTTCTGCTTATTTATTCAGGTCCTCAGAAGACTTGCACAAAACAGAGAGGCTGCACGGAAAAGCCGCCTGCGGAAAAAGGTAAAATGACAAGTACTTAACTACTAACATGCTGTCACCATGCTAGATTGTAGCTTTCCCATTTTTGAAAAACAAAATCCTCATTATCGGCATGATTATGGTGTTCCATAGGCTTATATCCAACAGCTGGAGACAAGCCGGTTGAAACTAGCGCAGTTAGAGCAAGAGCTTCAACGGGCCAGGCAGCAGGTACACGGATAACAATTTGTTGTGCAGCCACTTCAGCTTACACTTGTGTCACTGACTCCATTGCAAATTTGCAACTGCTCTGATGCAGGCTGTGTATGCAAATGGGAGCCTTCGAGAACCAAATCTTGGATTTACAGGACCGATCGATCCAGGTTAGGTTTTTTGTTGTGCCGCTCTTTCTGATCACAATGTTCAGCACAGATTTAACATTTTTGTTCATTCTAATTACCAGCTTATGTGGTTTCATCATATTACGTACATGCAGGTGCCTTAGGTTTTGAGATTAAGTACAGCCATTGGGTGGACGAGCAGAATCGCAACACTGGTGAGCTGAGGAATGCGCTGCTGCAGGGGCAGACGACGGACCAGGACCTGGAGCTCAAGTTGCTCGTCGAGGCTGGGCTCGACAACTACAACCGCCTCTTCGAGATGAAAGAGGAAGCCGCCAACTCCGACGTGTTCTACATCATGTCGGGCATGTGGAAGACCCCCACCGAGCGGTTCTTCCTGTGGATCGGTGGGTTCCGGCCATCGGAGGTTCTCAAGGTAGCTAATCGATCTGCACTGCACACATGTACTCCAGAGCTTCAAAACCACTAGTGCCAGTTGATTTTTTTTACATGACATGATGGCAACTCTCTCTCTCTCTCTCGTTGTTGCTTCTGCTATCAGAATTTGAGACCGCAGCTGGAGCCTCTGACGGACAAGCAGGTCGTGGAAGTGGGCGGCCTGCAGCAAACCTCGATGCAGGTCGAGGACGCCCTCTCGCAGGGCATGGACAAGCTGAAGCAGACGATCGCGGACTCCCTGACGGCGGCCGACCCGTTCGACTCCCCCGAGGCCTACATGGTGCACATGGCCAACGCCGTGGAGCAGCTCAGATCCCTCGTCCAGTTCGTTACCCAGGTAACCAAACCAAACCAAAACCAACCGCCAAAAACTCCGATCGCCTCATTGTCTCATTCATCATGGCATCTGGGACTTGTGTGTGCAGGCAGATCATCTCCGGCAGCAGACGCTGCAGGAGATGCACAGGATCCTGACGACGCGGCAGGCGGCGAGGGGGCTCCTCGCGCTGGGGGACTACTTCCAGCGCTTCCGAGCGCTGAGCTCGCTATGGGCAGCTCGCCCGCGCGATTCAGGGATAAGCTAAACACCGTAATATGGTCACGGTAGAAGCTACAGATATCAGTAGCAATTCGTCGTGTTAGTTCGCTACTTCAGTGTCAGGTCAATGGCCAGTGAAGGATGAAGAGATCTTTCTACCTGTGCTTCGTCGAAGAAGAACAACTCGTGATCGACTTTCTGCAGCGCCGCTGCAACTGCAATCCAAGGAATGGTGTATGTTCGCCTGCTGAGATGAAGAAATAACCAAAATTAACTTTGGTCTTTCTGATGTGGGCACAAGAGAAGATGTAATATAATATGTAAATATATACATGTTTTGGGTATCATTGCCAGAGGCCTCTACAGCTGGTTTTATAGACATGTGATGTAATTATCTGTAACTAGTGTTGCTCGGTTCCTCCTCCCTAGTACGGCAGACATAGGTGACATACTGCCATTGTATTGTATGGGAGAACAAATTAGTTCACTTGAGAACTAGAAAAACATGCAGTGATGTTTTGCTGAAGTTGAAGTAGTTTCTGCCACCACAAAACTTACCTTGAGATTTGGTCTCTGCTAACATGGCTAACCGTATTACGTAGCATGGCTTACTAGTGCGTGGGTGAACACATGGTGTCCTGCGCAAGTGCTCCAAGAGATTTATATTAATACTGGTAAAGTGAGAAAAAGAGAGAGGATGGTAAAAATAGCTAAACAATTGAGATGATGATAAACTATGGTACAATTGAGGTGATGATAAACTATGGTACATGTTAGTTCTAATATTATCTTTTTAGATAGTTTGTATATACCCCTCCCGTCTTAAAATATAAGCATTTTAGCTATGATTTCGGACAAACAGTTGTTCAGATTCATTGCTAAAAGTATTTATATTTTGAGACTAAGGGAGTAGTACATAGAAGAAAATATAAAAAATGAAAAGGATACTTTCATACTTATAGGATAATATAAGGAAATAGAAAAAATAAAAATAAGGGTTTCACACTTATAGGTAATACAAGGAAATATAGAAAATGAAAATGAAATTTTTGAAAGAGTAAAGTCCATCACCGGTCCCTAAACTTGTACCGCTATGTCATCCCGGTCTCTAAACTCGCAAATCGACCGTTCATGTTCTCAAACTTGTTCGATTGTGTCATCCCGGTCCCTAAACTTAGCAGATCACTCGTTTAGGTCATCTAACTTGTTCAGTTATGTCACCTCGGTCCCTAAACAGGACGGTCTAAAAATTTTATATTAAAAATAATTCATATTTTTTTCATGTGAACTCTAATGAAGACAAACTTTATATCAAAATTGTAGCCTTTTTTATTTTAAGTCATTTTTTGTCCCAAAATGTAATTTTAAATTTAAAATTTCAAAATCTATAAACATGCAACAATATTTTGGAACCCTAAACAGTTTCAATTCAAAAACTTTTCAACTACAAAGTCGTAGGTCACATCGAGGGCTACAATTTTGATATAAAGTTTGTCTTCATTAGAGTCACATAAAAAAGTTATGAATTATTTTTAAATATAAAGTCTTTAGACCGTCCTATTTGACCAATATGATATTCAAATCCAAGTTTAGGGACCGGGGTGACACAACTGAACAATTTGGAGGATCTAAACGAGTGATCCACAAGTTTAGGGACCGGGATGACACAGTTGAATAAGTTTGAGGATCTGAACGGTCGATTTAAGAGTTTAGGGACCGGGATGACACAGCGGTACAAATTTAGGGACCGGTGATGGACTTTACTCTTTTTGAAACTTCTAGTGTAATGCGATGAAGGAAATGTAGAAAACTTTAGAAACGCAGGGAACATAGAAATATAGAAAATGGAAAAGAAACTTTGAAACTTATAGGGTATACGATTTTGAAACTTATAGGGTAATACGATGAAGGAAATGTAGAAAACTTTAGAAACGCAGGGAACATAGAAATATAGAAAATGGAAAAGAAATTTTGAAACTTACACGAGGAACGAAATATAGAAAATTTTAGAAACGCAGGAACATATAGAAAAAAAATTAAAAAGGAAATCCGCTTGGATCGGGATATTGAACCCGACGTGAATCGAACACGCAACCTTCTGATCTGGAGTCAGACGCGCTACCATTGCGCCACGGATCCAATGGTGATATGGTTCAAAACAATTGCCAAAATATGTTTTAGGTCTTCCGATTAACGCAAACCAATACTAAGCAACAACCTTTGCTAATTGATTAGCTCGGGCCTACGTGAGTTCGTTGGGTCGTCACGGTCGATGGAACCAGCTCCCCAACTCACCTAGGAATAGATTAGGAAAAGCGAAACTTCAGTCCACCGAATGGTCCGAAATCCTGGCCCTACAACGTCACACTTTAGTCACCCCCCACTTCCTCCGCAGAAGCCAGCGCGAGACCAGACGGCAGAAGACTGCCGCAGAATTTGCCGCCCGGCCGCGCGCAGCGGGCAGGCAGCGGCGCACAGGCAGCTGGTCTCGTCTGCGTCTCACGCTGATCTCATGCCGTGACGAGCTGACTAGAGCTGAGCTACACGACAGGCGGAGCTCTCATGCGTCGGCAGTGAGTACTCCAACTCACCAACTGTAGCACTAGCTCGCATCACGTACTCGCACGATGCAGTACGTAGAAAGAATAAATGACCTACTTCATTCATGGCAACAGCATATGCTCCCGCTCCCCCGCACTCCACACCGCCCCACCGCCCGATCCGCTCGATCACGAACCGCCTGTCTGCACGACGCATACGCATGCATGCGCGCGCAGTGTCACCGTTCCGCCGGTCCCGCAGGTGTGCGATTCGAACTCCCGCGCGCTGCGCCCCCCACCGCCATGCGCCGTGCCCGCGGATAAACTAGCGAGGGGTCGCGCACGTCGCGGCGCCGTACGCGCGCGTGTATCTGGTTTGCTGGGCGAGTGGGCGCGCACTGGTCCCGTGCATGCAGAGCGAGCGGGCGCAGGCGAGGCGAACCCGATGGTGTTAATTAGTCTCGAGGCCTCGAGCTGCCGCTAGTCGCCTGCGAACCCGGCAGCGGCAGGGGGCATATGCAGGAGGCGGCCGGGCGCGTCACGCTCACGCAGGGGGCCCGTCATTGAATCCATGTGATCCGTGCCGGGGATCATGTGAAGCACAATCAAAGACGCGCGCTGCCGCCGCTGCGTCGCTCATCAATGGCTGCACACACATATACTCGATCGCGTTCGTTCGTGTGTATATATATATGCGTGTGTTCTTGCGTCCTCCTCTGATTCCTTCGAGCCTTCAGCTTGCATGCCCTTTGTGCGTAGCTGTGCTAGCTAGCTCGATCTTCTGCTTGAGAAGCCGAGATGAGGAGGCACGCTACTCTTGCTGACGCCCGAGGTCACCACCGCATCCTTCTCATACTCGCAGTCGTCCTGCTTCTTGCTGCCACCGGCGATGGCATCAGATCGCCCCCCTGTAAGTTGAGATATCTAGTAGTATGCAAAAAAAAAAAAAAAAACTAGAATATTAGGGAAGGACCTAATATCAAATAATTAGGAGGGGTGAGGCTTTGAACCCAGGTCGTCTAGCCCACCACCTTGTGGAGCTAGCCAGAAGACCTCTGGGCATTTCTCAATCTAGTAGTATGCGACTCAGTGACTGTATGTTTATAAGCACAATTGGTTAATTTGCACTTACCGAATGTGCTTGCTTGATATCTCCTAAATTAGTTTCCACAGATGATGTAGTAACACCGGTGCATGGTGCACAAGACGAAAAGATCAGCGCTACTGCGACACTTGTGATCTCACCACAGGTATATATGCATGTCGTCGATCGCCCATATCACCCATGTATATAAAAACTAACCAATATATTGATCTTCTCTTTGATCCATGCCTCGTGCATGCGCAGCAGGCCACAGCTGGGGACAACGTCGGCCGCGGCGTCCTGCAGGAGGAGGTGCGCGCGACGGGGTCGAGCCTGCCGGACTGCTCGCACGCGTGCGGCGCCTGCTCGCCGTGCAACCGCGTCATGGTGAGCTTCAAGTGCTCCATCGCGGAGCCGTGCCCGATGGTGTACCGCTGCATGTGCAAGGGCAAGTGCTACCCTGTGCCCTCCAGCTAGCTACCTCGATCAATCTCATGAGAGACACCAACGAGCAGTGTCGTGCGATGCATTTCAGCTGATACCTCGATCGCTTGCATGCAAAGCCGTGACGCTGGTGTTATTTACGAGCTAGCTAGGCTACGTGTTTGTAAATTAAGAGTCGTCGTCGTCGTCGTTAATTAGCTAGCTTAGCTAGTACTTATGTGTACTGCAGAAGTGCAGGGTTCATTAGCTAGAGAATTTTGGGATGTCAGGTCAGATTTTTTTTTCTTTTTCAGTAGGAATGTATCGGAGACGCGCGCGCTCTAACAAAAGCTGTGTGCTTCTAGATTGATTTAGTAAGAGTTCCTTTTTCTTCTACGCATGTATTGCACGGATAAATCAGCTTTCGAAGGATTGTTCAGGTTAAGTTATAAGCCTGCAATTTTATTTTACTTTCAATCAGCATCTCAATTTGTTCAAGGGTCACTTTCTTCGTACGAATTGAATTAGGGATTGAGATGCCACCCTCTTCCTATAAAATTGGAGATCGCCAAGTAAAAATGCATCGTGTTTTTTTTTTCTTTTCCGGGCAGCTGAAGAAGGATCGATCAAATTTCATTTTAGATAAGAAGCTTTGTGAATTTCGATAAGAAACTGTCAAGCTGAAAAGAATATCCTAGGTGGTTCATACCTTGAATCGTGGATAGACTCCATATGTATTTTTGGGACAGATGGTGTACGAACAAAAGCACAAGCTTCCAAAAAAAATTACACTCCTATAATTCCTTGCGCCCTTTGTTGTTGAATAATCTTTCAGCACATGCATGCATGTTGAAGACATGAAGAAACTGATCGACCAATCAGCTAAGCTTGACTCCGACTCCAGCGAAAGACAGTCCACAAAACTAAACTAACGCTCCAACATCTTTCGTTAAGCCCACCAAAAAACCAGTAACGCCCACGCTTGCCGGGATTGAGATACTCTCTGCTTTAAAAGACATCGTGCCTTTGTCACTGACAAGTGGGTCCATGATTCGTCGGACCCACATGTCAGTGACAGAGGCACCTACCTCTGCCTGCCGACGTGTACCACTCACAGACACGCAAAACAACAAGATTGTGAAACGTTTTGGTGGCCGCCACCGTGTGCGCGTAGCGAAAAAGAACGAAAATCCCCTTCCACTTCCGCTTTCCAGCCGCGCCGTTGCTGCCGTAAACCCTTCCTCTATCCCCCTCCCACTCCTCTCCAAACTCTGCGAACCCGAGCTCTCCTCGCTTCGTCTCCCTCCTCTCGCCGCGCCGCGCCGCCCGCCTCCTCCTCGTCGAGTCGAGTGGCCCTGATGCCCGCGTGCGCCGCCGCCGCCGCCTGCTGCTGCTCCGAGCGGTAGCCGCGTCGGAGTCGCCCAAGACGGCGCCCGGTGGCTTCGGGTGTGGGTGCGGTGGGCTAGCGGGAGGGGGAGGGGGAGGAGGGAGGGGAGGGGGGAGGCTGAGCGCCTGGTGAGCTCCATAGCGATGGCCGCTCCGGCCCCGGCGCCGGCGCCCGCGCAGCTGCGGCGGTGCCCGTGCTCCGCGCCTCTCTGGGCCGCGCCGTCGCCCTTCCGCTGCTGCGGCGGCCGCCGCGGCCGCTCGCCGTTCATCGGAGGCGGAAGGTAGCTGTGTTCCTGTGTTGGTTGGTTGCTGATTTTGTGATTTGTTCGGTGAGTTTCGTGCGTATTGGATGCGTGGTTGAGTGTTGGTAGTGGTACTACTCATTCGATTCGAGGTTCACGCGCGATGGTTTGGATGCCGGTTTAGGTTCAGCCCAATGCTCCTGGTCGTTGTGCTGTTGATACTATTTGTTTTTCAAACCTTGTGCTGTGTTCTGGATTAATAATGAACTAATCCAGGGATGAGTGAGTAAGTATTCCTTGCTGTGAACGTCCTATGCCTTTTAGGAACTTGAACAATTGCACCTAGTAGTGTTTGGCTAAACTTTGCTACTTCCTGTCAAATGATAGTGTGTTCATAAAATGTTCATAGTAGTCAAATGGTTATTAAGCATGTGGCATTCTGGTTCCATCTCTCACATTAGGAATGTTCTTATTGTTAGGCAGGACTACTCGCATAGTAGCTCGGGCCTTGGAGTTACAGACAACAGTGCTTTCAAAATTGGAGTGTATACCAACTTCAATGTGCAAAGTAATGCACAAGAATGGCTTGAGGAGAGCAAGAGGATATCCTCGATCAAAACCAGGAATAACGTGGGAAACACTATTTATAAAGGTTCTACTCATCTACGAACAGGAATTCTTCATCACGAACCTTTGGAAGATCACAAAAGTTCCAACTATTCTTCATTGTACAATGTAAGAGAAAGAATGACTCCTAATTCTCTTGCAAATAGGCATGCTAACATGGAGTTGGCAAAGCATAACACGAGGAATCAAGCTGCAAGTGCTGTGTCAGCACTGACCAGTGTTGTTAACGATGACATTAAACCACTCAACAGGTCTAGTGGCTCTGAACTGAAGACTCAATGGCAACCAGATTCTAAGACTGATGCTTCCGTTCTGAAGATCTCTAAAGTCGAGACAAGCCTGCAGTTTGATGACAAAGCTAGGGATGGTTATGATGGAGATGAACATGAATGCACAGCCAAGAATACAGTACAAGATTCTCCAGCTAAGGCACCCATGTCCAAGGAGTCTAAAGATGCGAGGAAGGCACTTGCTACTGTGTACGACAAAGTTCTGGTGGTTGACAATGTGAAGTCAGCTAGGAGTGTTGTTCAATTGCTTACTTCAAAGTACAAAAACTTTATTCATGCATGTGACACAGAGGTATGGAATGAAAACCCCTCATTGATTGATTTTTTTATGTCTGTATAAAGTGGCTAATTCGCATCACCTGTCATCGTATGACGTGTACTAACATTTTCAGTTAGGCACTAACTCTAAAAAGTTTACCTGTATCTACCTGTCTACCCGCTTTTCTGTGAGATGATCAACACATGGCTCCACCACCCCACATCCCATCTTTCATAGTTGAAATAGTACTACTTATGCTTCTCTTTGAGAAATCTAGTTCTGTTTAGTGCAAGTTTGTTTTGCTTTTTCTGCAAGTTTGCCAATCTTAGGTCTTAAGCTGTGAAGCATTGTGTTGCATGCCTGTTTGTTTTGCTGCTCTTACTCTTTGTTATGAGTGAATACAATATCAATGACAACTTAAGGGCAAAATAGGTCTCACAAATAATGAAATCGCAATGATGATCTCTTTTACCATCTTGATTCAATAGTTACCTGGCAATCAAATTATGTAAAATGTTCTGTATTTTGTGCCAATTGACTTCTTGTTAGTTTATTATAATTCAGGAGAGCACACTGTTATGCAGGTAGCTAATATTGATGTTAAACAAGAGACACCAGTTAGCCATGGAGAGGTCATTTGCTTTAGCATCTACTCTGGCAACTCTGATGCAGAAGCTGATTTTGGAAATGGAAAAACATGCATTTGGGTGGACGTGCTGGATGGTGGGCGAGATGTCCTCATGGAGTTTGCTCCATTTTTTGAGGACCCCTCAATCAGGAAGGTGTGGCTTTGTGTCCTTGTTTTTCTTATGTGGGAAGTAGCGAATCTACTATCTAGGGTTGTCTGCTTTCCCTTCTTTTGTGTTACTAATACAGACAAACAATATAAATGGAACCGTGAACTAGAATATTGTTTACAATACAGTGGAATGTTTATATTACACATTTAATGCAGACTTGCATGTTAATTTTCTACTACAGCTTAGGTTGATGCTATGTTTTTTTCTGAATCCCTGACTAAAGTTTTGATACTTCTTTGAACTTCTAGGAATTATAGGATTGCATCTCTACTACCGCTAGCATCTTTGCAAGTTTTCTAAACAGATGTCCTGATTTTCTCATGTAGGTTTGGCACAACTATAGTTTTGATAGCCATGTCATAGAGAACTATGGAATCAAAGTTGCTGGGTTTCATGCTGATACGATGCATCTTGCACGACTTTGGGACTCTTCAAGAAGAATTGATGGAGGATATTCACTTGAAGGACTTACAAATGATCACAGGGTCATGGGTGTTGTACCAAAGGAATTACAAAAGATTGGAAAGAGATCAATGAAAACCATCTTTGGTTGGAAAAAGATTAAAAAGGATGGATCTGCAGGGAAAATTATCTCTATGGAGCCTGTCGAAGTATTACAAAGGGATGACAGAGAAATGTGGATCTGTTATTCTTCATTAGATTCAATGAGTACCTTACGACTTTATGAAAGTTTGAAAAGCAAGCTGGAAAAAAAGCACTGGACTTTTGATGGTTGCCCTAGAGGTTCAATGTATGATTTCTACGAGGAGTATTGGCGTCCTTTTGGTGCCCTTCTTGTCAAGATGGAAACAGCTGGAATGCTAGTCGACCGTGGTTACCTTTCAGAAATTGAAAAGGTTGCTGTTGCACAGCGAAAACTAGCTGCGGATAAATTTCGGAAATGGGCATCTAAATATTGTCCTGATGCAAAATACATGAACGTGAACAGTGATACTCAGATTCGCCAACTGTTCTTTGGTGGTATAGAGAATAGGTACAACCCTCAGTCTGCTGCAGTCTCTTACTAAATACATGTTTTTGGTCCTTGTATACATAATTCTATGCATTCTTATCCAGGACATCCACTAGGTTAGATGGTAATTATGATAGCAAACTCTAAATATGTCTATATTGTAGAAGGTGACCTTGCTTAGCAAATCAACTTCATATATTGAGCTTGCATGAATAATTCCTTCTATTTTAAAATAAAACAGTACCCTGTGTTGTGTTTACTGAATGCAGAACAAAAAAAAAAAGGGAGCAGATTTCAGTTCACCTACTATTCTAGAAAGTAGAAACTTTTGTAGAAAGTAGAAACTTTTGTAGTTCATATGTTTTGGGTCTTGGATTGTAACTAGGTATAATATGTGTTTCCATGTATCAATGAAACAAAAGAGTTAAATGGAACCTTCTGTCCTTTTCTTTTTTATCTCTTGTAGACATTTCTTGCACAGAAGTTTTGATGCTCTTAATATATGTGCAGATGCAAACCTGGTGAAACTTTGCCAAAGAGTAGAACTATTAAAGTACCAAATGATGGAAGCCTTATTGCAGAGGGCAAGAAAACTCCAAAGTATTGTACTATTGAACTTTTCAGCATTGTGGAAGATCTGAAAACTGATCTATTTACTGCAAGTGGCTGGCCTTCAGTAAGTGGAGATGCATTGAGAAGTTTGGCTGGTAAACTGCCAACTGATCTTGTTTACACAACAGATGATGTAGAGGATGATGACAGTGGTGATTCAGAAATTTCTGAGCATGATCTAAACGACACTGCCTCTTATGGAACTGCATATGAAGCATTTGGAGGAGGAAAGAAAGGAAAGGAAGCATGCCATGCCATTGCGGCTCTCTGTGAGATTTGTTCTATTGACTCGTTGATATCCAACTTTATTCTTCCCTTACAGGTGAGCAGTGAGCTGACCCCATCTGTAGCAGTTAGGCTTGAGTGGCTACCATCAACTACCATAACCTTAAGCTATATGTCCAGTTCTTAATGTTATTTATCTCCTATTACTTTTTGATAGGGGAATCATATATCATGTGACGAGGGGCGGATCCACTGTTCATTAAATATAAATACAGAAACAGGGCGTCTGTCAGCAAGAACACCAAATTTACAGGTGACTTTTCATTTATGTTTTTTTAAATAAATAAATAAATAAGGGTATTATGAAGCTGAGAAACTAATAGTTATCAAAGAATTTTCTTCCTAACTTCAATCATAATTCACTCTTGTATAAACAAATCAATGGGTTCATGTATGGATTTTAAAATCTGCTAATGCCAGGCTGTGGATTGTTTTCACAGTCCAATATACGTGAATTGGGTGAACTTAGTGAAAACTAACCGAAATTTTGATCTGTCTAAAATGGTTATTAAAGCACTGGTCTACACATGTACACCATGCGGGTTTTATTTGTTTGTGTGTCTTAACACGCATACATACTGTAACTGCTGAGAGCGAAGTACTGTGATGGTTTCTTAGACATTGATGCATTCATCAGTTAACATAATTTACTTAATGAATAAAATGAGACAAGCTAAGCTACCAGTGGTCATTGATCCATTTTTGCTGCTAAGTCGATGAATGGGTGTACCAAATATTAATTTTGAAACTAAGGACAGATTTTTCAATGAATTTAATGTTAACGATGAATAATCTAATCTTTTTTTCTTGCATTATTTGATATTTTCTAGATGGGAATCGTTTGTTCGAAATGCTGTAAAATATGGGCCAGTTTATTTAGGTGGTGTAGTAATCACCATATTGTATCATATTGTGAGTTGTGATATCATCGCCCAAATAATATATTGAACTCTGGATCTAATTTCTGCATTGTAGAATCAACCTGCACTGGAAAAGGATCGGTATAAAATCCGTCAAGCCTTTGTTGCAGCTCCAGGGAACTCTCTCATCGTTGCTGATTATGGTCAGGTATGTTGTATGTTGGCTGATGCTCAACAAAGTTCCAGAATAATTTTGCACTAGCACAAGTGAATAAAGGGTTTTTTTTTTTTCTGTTTAGCTGGAGCTCAGGATCTTGGCACATCTTGCTAGTTGTAAAAGCATGTTAGATGCTTTCAAAGCTGGTGGTGACTTCCATTCCAGGACAGCTATGAACATGTACCAGCATATCCGTGATGCTGTTGAAGAAAAGAAAGTACTTCTTGAATGGCATCCTCAACCTGGCCAAGAGAAACCTCCTGTGCCCTTGTTGAAGGTACCACAGCTCCAATAGTATTTTTAAGAGTCATGTATTTATGCAGAATCAAATAAAGTTATATGTTCTATTTGTGATTTAGGATGCCTTTGGTGCTGAGAGGCGGAAAGCTAAAATGCTTAATTTCTCCATTGCATATGGAAAAACACCTGTTGGGCTTGCTCGAGATTGGAAGGTATGAACTTGTTATGAACATACCTGATTCTTTACTAGCTTAAGTACGCACTTCACTTGTTACCCGCTTTGACTGACCATCTGGGAACCATAAACAGCTTGCACATGACCATTAGTCATACTTGTTAGATTTACTGTTGAAGCATTGTACAACTGCTCTCCTATTAATGTAAAAAGATGCAGTCCCCTGTACTTTCCGTCGCTGTTTTCAAAGATCACTGCACATCTATAATTTCTTCCCTTGGCAGGTCTCTGTCAAGGAAGCAAAGGATACCCTGAAACTCTGGTACAGGGATAGAAAAGAGGTTTTAGCTTGGCAAATGAAACAAAAAGAATTAGCGCAGGAGAAGTGTGAAGTTTACACTTTGCTCGGGCGGTCGCGCCGCTTTCCTAACATGGCTCATGCAACTTCTGGTCAAAGGGGTCACATTGAGCGAGCTGCTATCAATGCACCAGTACAGGTCATTACCGTCTATGACAACTCAAAAGTTGTGCTTGGTAGTGTCTCTTCTATGCTGAAATTGTAGTGTTTTGTAACTTCACAGGGCAGCGCAGCAGATGTTGCTATGTGTGCTATGCTCGAGATAGATCGGAATGCTCGTCTTAAGGAACTCGGTTGGAGGCTTCTCTTGCAGGTACAAAACAATTAGGCATGATTAATGGCTAGTTGTGGATCTTAAATTGTTTCTTGATAGGTTCGCAGTATTATCTGGTTTCCCTTTATCCGTTAGGTGTAACACCTTGCAGAACTGATAGCTCCGTCTTTCAGGTGCACGATGAAGTGATACTGGAAGGGCCTACGGAATCTGCCGATCTGGCCAAGTCGATTGTGGTTGAATGCATGTCCAAGCCCTTCTACGGCACCAACATCTTGAATGTTGAACTGGCTGTTGATGCCAAGTGTGCGCAGAATTGGTATGCAGCCAAGTAGGTTGCCATACTCTTCCCCAATTAACTCCTAAGGCTGCATAGTTGCATCTCGGGAGTGCTTCAAACTCAACGATGAAATATGTTCTCAGCTGGTATGAGCTGCCAGAACAGAGGTTTGCCCTGGTGTCCGGGAGGCATGCATAACCATTCGGCTAACCAGGGCAATGAGCAGTCTGCAGCGAAGGCACTGTACAATGTAGGCTGAATAGCTTGACTTCCACATTCTTCCAAGTAGGAATGTCATTTTTGTGTCACGTGTAGTAATCTGGAGACTGGACTCTTGGAGGGAAGTAGGAAAAACTAGGCATGCGTTGTTTATAAGATTTGTTTAGCATGCTGATGTAGTATTAGGTTAGCTGACCAATTCTGCTTATGTCTGACTCTGCTACTACACACCGCAGCTTGTTTGATGAACGTTCCTCAACCTGTTACTCTACATTATTTGGACATATTGTGGTTAGCTGAATGAATACCTGAATATAGCCAGGGGGAACTCCATCCTTAAAATGGCCGGATGCCACATGGCCCACAAAGTCCGAAGAGCAACCTCAAATCGAAAAGTGTAAAAGCGACGGTAACAATGAACCTATGATGAAAAAGATTAAATTATCTAAGATTGATCATGAATTTGAAACAAATGACATGAAACTGGTCAGTCACACACTCACACCTGCTATCTCCCCCAAAAGAAGAAGGGTTAATTATTTTAGAATTAACCCGAAGAAACGGGCAGAAATTTTAGAATCGAATGTTTTACAGACCCAATATGTGAAACACGAAATGGGTAGATATTTCAGAATCGAATGTTTTACACTTCTTCAATAATAATGTACCCTTAACAACAAGCTCAACCTATGGATGTAACACAACACAACCTCGCAGAAATGTCACCGTGTCTGCGAGCTTCCCTTGCAAAGTCGGGGAGGATACAGCTCGAGGAGTTCAGGTACCTCTTCCTTGTACCTGAGTACGTACCGCTCCACGAACTTGTCCTCCGGATATCTCATCACGCTCCCCAGGTTCGCCTTCTTCCCGATGCCCACGCCCCTGGACCGCAACGCCTCCACGACGCGGCACCGCGGCGCCATCCGCTTGCCGAGGCTCAGCGTCAGCAGCACGGGGTTGGTGACGATGTGCGTCGCGTCGCACCCGGCCTCCGCCATCAGGAACTCCACCTTCCGCCGCAGCAGCGCCGCGGGCACGAACACGAGGCACGGCGCGCGGCGGAACATGGCGTCGAACTCCTCCTCCGTGCAGCCCGCGGCTCCCACCACGGCCGCCTTCTTGGCACGGAAGCTGCCCTCGCTGACGTTGTGCAGCGCGAAGAAGGCCCACATGTACATCCCGGAGCTTGGCGGGACGCCGCACGCCTCGACGCGGCCGACCAGCTTCTGGAACCTGGCCGGCGTCTGCGTGATCAGCGTCGGCTGCATCCGCACCGTGGTGGTGATGCGGCTCTGCTGGACGCCGAGGGATCGGAGCGTGGAGAGGTTGCGGAGGAGGGCGTCGACGCTGTACCGGAGCAGCCACGTCTTGGCGAGCCATTTCATCAGTAACTTGGCGGACCCCAGGAAGTCGATCCAGAAGAGGACGCGCGGGAGGAGGTTGGTGTGGATGCCGTAGGTGAGCGCCGGCGGGTAGAGGGCGAAGAGGCGCGCGACGTCGGCGCGGCCGAGGCCGAGCGCGCGGACGGCGCGGAACTTGGGGTCGAGGGTGGCGTCGACGTCGCTGAGCAGCAGCTCCGGCTTCCACGACACGACCTCGCGGACCTGCGCGCGGGTGAGGCCCTGAGACCGGAGGAAGGCGAGCGCGGCGTCGGGCCTGGACGCCGAGTCGAGGTGGGCGAACCGCGGGGCGGCCTTGGCGGCGGCCGCCGGCGAGAGGCCGCACTTGGAGACGAGGTACTGGACCATGAAGTGCGGTGGGGTGGAAGAGGGGGTGGAGAAGCGGCGGACGAGGTGGCCGCGGGATTCGGAGGAGAGGAACGCGAGCGGCGGGCGCGGAGGTGGAAGGGATTCCACACGGTGGAGGAGGACGCGGCCGGCGACGGCGAAACGCCGCAGCGCCATGGATTCCAGGACGGACGTCCGTGGTGAGGAATCGATTTAAGGGATCTCAGATGAACTTATTCCTATCCACAAAAGTACAAGATCCACTTCAAGCTGTTTGGTTGGGCTAACTTTGGCCCGCATCCAACACCCAGAGTAAATGAATAGTGTTGTGCCAACTTTGTTTTAAGTGGGCCTTTATTAAAAGTAGTTCACGCGGCCTTCCAATCGGCGTTCCTCGCATTTCCCCAGCCTGCGAAGTGCGAACCGTGACAGTAGTTTGCCCTTATATTCACCGGGAAAAACAGGTTTACTGATTACTATTCTTTACATTTTTTTAATATATGATACCGTTGATTTTTTTATACGTTTGACCATTTATGTTATTAAAAAAATTTATGTAATTTCCCAAAAAAAAATTATGTAATTATCTTTTTTTTACTTGATTTATCGTCAAATGTTATTTAATCATGACTTAATTTTATATTTGTAAAAAAATTGAATAAAACGAATGGCCAAATGTTTATAAAAAATCGACGGCATCATATATTAAAAAACAGACGTAGTATTATATACTTAAGACATCGGCAAACATGAGATTATCTCATTATTATACTACGTCCATGAAAGGATAACAAACAGGGTGAGCCAGCCAGCCAGCCAAATATTGTCTTGAGTCCATGCAGTAGAGGAAAATAAGATATGCATAATATGAGTCTAGTACTAGATGCCTAGATGGCATGAACTATCGGTCATCTTATCCCAGTAGCTCGAGGAAACGCGACTTGAAAGCGTCCATCTGTTTCGGTTGCAGCAACGACACCGACACCTGCACCCCGCGGCCGTCGCCGGCGCGGGCCAGCGCCATCTGGCCGTCGTGGTTCATCCTCGCCGGCACCGTCCATCTCGGATTCCCCCAACCAAAGTCAGCGACGTCGTACGGGCAGAAACCCGGCGATCCGGACACGGTCGCCAACAACTCTTAAGACGCCCTGCTGGTCCAGGCCAAAGAAATCCCACAAGGCCAGCGGGTCATCCGCCATCCTCCGGATCTCCTCCTGGATCGCCGACGCGGCGGCCGCCAGTGCGCCGTCGCCGTGGAGGAGGTCGCGCGCTGGGAGCGCCACGAAGCACCCGGTGAGGCACGTGCCGAAGTACCTGGGCGTCAGACAGGGAAGGGTCAGACCCGCTTCGCAGGAAGTTCGGCCGAAGAAGATAGAGGAACGCCTCGGCGTCGTCCGCGGCGGATGTCTTGGACTTGGACCGGACGAGGAGCGTCCAGACCGTCGCGACGAGGGCGACGAAGCTGGACGGTGGCCGACGCGGTGGTGCGCCGTGGGCTTCGCCGTCTCGGACGATGCGTTCACTGGTGAAAAAATATTTTTTACTCCCGGTTTAGAACCTCACTACGAATCCGGGACTAAAAATCGATAAGATGGAGGAGTAAAGAGAGGGAATCTTTAGTCCCGGTTGGTGGGAAGCGACAGTTCCTCGAGATACTTTTTTTATTTTATTGTTGATTTGCTAATGGCTAGGGTTAATCCCTATATTTTCTCCCGAATTAAATGGGATGCACATCCCCAAATCAACATCCCAAATATTAAGTTACTTGTATACACAGATTAAATACACCACAAATTCTACACACAGATCAAATACATCACAAATCCTAAAAAACTACACACAAATTAAATACATCACAGATTATACAAATTATACATCTATGCAATGAATCACAAAATCTAAAAAAATATACATCTAGTGAAACACAAATTACAAAAAAAAAAAGAAGCAAACGAGCCGCCGCCCGTCGCCGCCTGCGCGCGCCCACCTCCACACGCGCGGCCGCGCCGCCGCCCGCCTCCACGCCCGCGGCCGCGCCGGCCGCCGCCCGCCTCCCCGCGCGCGGCCGCGCCGTCGCCACCCGCCGCCCGCCTCCCCGCCGCCGGCCGGCTGATGGAAGAGGGAGTTGAGGGGAAGAGGAAGGGCCGGCTGATGGGAGGGAGGAGAGGGGAGGAGGAGAAGAGGAAGGGGAGGAGGAGAAGAGAGGGGATGGGAGGAGGAAGAGGATTGGATCTGAGAAGAGGAAGAGAGGGGATCCGGATGTTCCAATCTTATCTAAATATCTGTCTGGGACTTAACCGATCAGATGTGGGAGAGAAATATTTACTCCCGGTTGATAACTCCAACCGGGACTAAAGATCGATCTTTAGTCCCGGTTGGTAATACCAACCGGGACTAAAGATGTAGCGCCCGTTCCGTCGTGGCGCCTAGCGGGAAAATTATCTCCTAAAAATCCTAATTGCGAAATTTGTTTCTTTGCTTGTTGTCTAGTGTCCGTGCCATCTCAAGATCTCAATCCCCGATCTATCGTCGAGTTCAATTCCGAATCCAAATCCTTCCAAATCAAATCCCTCCGCAAAAGTCTAGTTTGCCTCCCCCGGGTTCGATGGGCCGAATCCCTCTCGGCCCATCTCCCCCTCCCTCCTCGCTCTATCTCTCTCGCTCTCTCTCTCTCTCTCGCTCTCCCCCGGCGCGCTCCCCCGCTCCTCCCCTCTCTCCCTCCGCTCCGCCCCGCGCCGCACGCGCGAGCGCGCGTCGCCGCGCCGAGCGCCCCACCCTCGCGCGCCGCGCGCGAGCGCGAGAGCCGCGCCCTGCGCCCCTCCGCTCTGCCCGCGCGCGTGCGCGTAAGCCGCCCGCGCCGAGCCAAGTCCTCCCTCTCCGCTCCCTCGCTGCCGCTTCCCGCGCGCCGTGTTCGCGTGCGCGCGCCCGCGCGGACGCCGCCCGTTGCAAGCCGCGCGCGCGTGCCGTGGTGGCCGACCGCCTGGTCGCCGCCGTCGTCAGCGCCTGCCGCGCCTGTCGCCCGTGTCGCGCTCCGCTCCAATCCGCCCGCCGTCATCGCCGTCGTCATCGCCCGGCCCCCGCCACTCCGCGCGCAAGCCGCCAAGGGACGGAGGCAGCGCCCCTCCTCCCCCTGCCGCGTCGCCCCCGCTCCCTCCGCCTTTTCCCAAAGAGGCAAGGGGCGAGCCCCCTTTCTCTCCCTCCTTTTCCCCTTTTTCCCCCTTTTTCCCCTCTCGCCGGTGTCACCTCCTGTCGTCGCTTTGGCCGCTAGCCGGAGCGCCAGCTCGCCGGCTTGACCGCCCAATGTCGGTTCCTCTCTCCCAAACCGACCTTCCCGCCTCCTATAAACCCAAGCCCCCCTCTCCCTTCCTTCCTCTCCCATTCGCCTCCTCGCCATTGCCGCCGCTCCCGTGCTCTGTCTCGCCTCCGCCGTCCATCGCCAAGCACCGGGAGAGCCGGTGCGTTCGTGGACGCGGAAGGGGACTCCGGGCGCGCCCTCTTCTTCCTCTTCCTCGGCCCGAGGCCGGAGAGATCACTCCCGCGCCGTCGGCCTCTCGTCACCGCGCCCGTCCCGCACGGTAGTGCCTCCCTCCGTTCTTCCTCCTCGCTCCATCTCCCCCCCTTAGCTTTCGGTAGTAGCTCGAGTAGCCTCCCCGAAGTTAGCCGGCGCCGCCCCGACCGTTGCCGTCGCTCGCCGTGTGCTCGCCGCCGTCGCCGCCCGAGCTCGGAAGCGCCGCTCGTCGCCGGCCTCGCTCGGCGTAGTTCCGCCCAATCCGACGCTAGCATCGGATTCCCGTAACCGCATAGATGCTCTCGCCGCCGGGAATTAGCCCCTAGTGACCTCGTCGCCGTTTCCCCCTTCTCCCGCCGCCGGTTGCCGCCGCCGTCGAGCAACCCCCGGCAAATCCGAGCCGTTGGTTCGTCTCCCCTCGTCACGTGCAACCGCCCGGTGTGCTCGCTTTTGCCCGTATCGCCGTGGTTCGCTCCGTCGCTCGCCGCTGTCGACCGCCGTTCGTTCCGGCCAGCGTCGTCGTCTACCTCCCGCCGGCCCGCGTGGCAGCCACGTAGGCGCCACGTCGGCGCCAGCTCAGCCTAGACCGGGTCGAGCCGACCCCGGTCAGTCCCTCCCCGTGCGCGCGTTCCACCGCGAGCCGTGAGGCTGCGCGTGGACCCGCCGCACCCACGTCCACCGCGAACCGCGCGCGTGCATCACGTCCATCCTCCACCCTAGCGCCGCGCCGCGTGCTCCCTCCGCACGGTGAGCCGAGCCGCTGACAAGCGGGTCCCACCCGGGACCGCGCGAGGTGAGCCCGGTCCACCGGCTCTCTCTCTCTCCTTCCTCCGCGTGCGCGCATCTTGGGCCGCTCTGGGCCGCCTTCTTGGGCCGGCCGGCCCGTTAAGCTCGGCCGAGCCGCTCTTTCTCTCGGGCTGCGCCCTAGCCGCCCGAGAAAAGTCTGTATTCCCTCCCTCCTTTCTTTTCTTTTATTTTCTTTTCCAAAAAGGATTTAATTAAATCCTTTTCCTTTAGACCAAAAATCCAATAATCTTAGAAATTCAATATCTTCCCAACCGTAAATCCGATTGACTCCGTTCAACTCCCAAAATTCCTCAAATCCCGAGATCTATCTAATGGCACGCTTAGAGGTCATTAATAAGGCTTTATTTTCGCCGTTTGTTGAGTTGTCCCGTTTTGCGTGTAGTTTCGGAGCCCGAAGACCCGCAGTGCGAGGATTTCGAGGATCAAGCTCCAGATCTCGAGCAAGGCAAGCCACCTTTGAACATCTTGAGCCTATATTTGAATTTAATTATGTTGCTTGAAAAATATTATGCATTGATAGGATCGCACTTAATCTGCTTGTTCCGTCCGCATGACAGTTTGGCGGACCTACCTAACTTGTTGCATCTGACCCCTCCATTGCTAATTGTTATACCATGTCCCCTTGTAACCATCCAGTTGCGCCTCGATACTCGAGCACTCTGTGCGAGTATCGACGGTCGCCCTCAAACTTAAAATATGATAAACATCTTGGGTAAAACTTGGGTTTTACAAAAGATTTGGAAAACCCGACACCTGGGTCGGTGCTTGTGAACTAAATGAAATTTCCAAAACCGCGGACCGGGGAACGTACCGGGTGTACGGTTTCCCGCTCTTGCACTTAAGGACCGTTTCCTTGGAATTTCATCCAAACATAAGACAAGTACGACCACATGGGTGGAATGGGACACCCCTGGCTGAGTAACTAGTTTACCA